AAAAAGCAATACTACAAAAGCAGTGATTGTATTTTTTTTAAATGAGGTTTTGAAGAATAATAATAATTCAAGGCGTATGAATATTAACTCATGCTGGGCTGAGAATTTGTATTTCTTCTAAGTGTGGGCCGAATTTTTCAAATTTAGCATAACTCACCATGAACTTATGTAACTCAATGTTGCAAGTCCACTGCAGTGATGTGGTAGACACTGGCTTTACCTTATTTTGACAACTGTTTGAGCGTGCCGGCGTTTAGAACACTGAAAGTTACTAAACAGTCTGGCATTAAATACTAGCAATTGTTTGCTACATCCTGATCACGAAATCCTGTAATTTTATCCTTTAAAATAGGGATATAAATGAGCATAGACTTACAAAAAGAAACAAGATCTTGACCTGTGCCCTCTCAGCTTGTTTTGCTGTTGGGAAGTTTAACAGAATTGTTTTTAAAAGTTTGAGGTATATCACGTCTTTGAGTAATTGAAGATGTATTTTAATAGTTTAAAAAGGGAGTAAAACCCATGCAAAAGCAGTTTTTCTTAAGGTCACAGGACATCGCACCTCGCGCGGCACTCCTGAAGTCTCATGTTTCTCTAGGCATTTCTCCAGATCCTTGTGCTTTATAGCCAATTGACGGCTGACTTTCCACCCCACCAGGACATCACACAAGCGATAAACACTCGATGACACAAAGTGCCAACATGTGGAAGAGGATCACCGTGGAGAGGTCCTAGAAATCGCGTTAAGCCAATTGGCCATATTTATGGCCTGGCTATATTGCGGCCCCTGGCAAGAGACAAGGTGGGGCTTCAAATAACGAAAAAGTTTGTCTTAAAAAGGACAGCAAATTAACATCATAGCCAATTAATCTTCGATGTCTTTTATCAGTGTTTCCCCACGTGGAATTCACACCAGCAGGGTTGGAGTGGGGGGGGGGGAGGGCAATTTGATTGCTGAGGTTGGGGGGGGGGGGTGGTGTAATCTGATTGTTGAGGTTGGGGGGGGGGGGTGTAATTTGATTGTTGGGGGGGGGGGGGTGGGGGTAATTTGATTGTTGAGGGGGGTGGGGGGTGGTAATTTGATTGTTGAGGTTGGGGGGGGGGTGTAATTTGATTGTTGAGGTTGGGGGGGGGGTGTAATTTGATTGTTGAGGTTGGGGAGGGGGGGGGGGCAATTTGATTGTTTAGTTTGGGGGGGGGGGGGGGGGGGGGGGGGGGTAATTTGATTGTTGAGGGTTTGGGGGGGGGGGGGGGGGCAATTGATGTTTTGAGGTTGGGGGGGGTGTAATTGATTGAGGTTGGGGGGGGGATTTGATTGTTGAGGTTGGGGGGGGGGGAGGGGTAATTTTGTAAAAAAATGGTGGAGGGGCGGGGGAGGAGTTCGAAAATGGATTCGTCCACAGTTTAAGTTTTATAAGGGATATAGGAATTTTAGAAAGACTGAGGTGAGGCACGGCAGAAACAGGTTTGGGAAATGTTTTATATCCATCTCCGCGAAGGTCTAACCTTTTCTTCTGAAAACTGTACCCCCACCACTTCAATCAGCGGTCCCTCCAAACCACCGTGACGTGTAACCTGACCTCAGCGTTCATGACAGAATACTGTTTATGTGCCAGTTCTCCCCGATGATATGCCGGTGTGACTTTTTTTTCCGGTATATGGTATCCTGGAAATATTTCTGTAGCATTTCAGTGAAGGATATTCTTCGCAAATTATCTTTATCAACTGGGCTGACAACCAGTCCTAAATAGTTGTGTTAAGCTAATCCGGATATCACCAACCTGTGCCAGGTCCTTGACAGAACGTCGCTCCTATCTTTGCCTGCCTGAGGTCCGAGGTAGTCAGCACGCTTTGGATACTTTCTCCAGGTCACGCTGATATGTTAGGAAATGAGCAGGCAGATAGACTGGCCGGTTCTGCACCCCCTGGTGGTGAACTAATGTATGACAAACTAGATGTTGTGAAAGCCCTTTGGAAGCAAGTGAACAGTGCGGAGGCGTAGATATAAGTTTACTATCTGAGGAGAATGGCGCTGCGAGGGGTTATCAGGTAATCTGGCCGACGCTCAATACTCAAGGGAAAGGCGAGACGGATTACACTCATACAGTTACTGGTGTCATCGGAATTCGAACACCTAGCTTGCTGCTGATGATAGGGATGGAACGCTTATGGAAGTGTGCCGAGTTTTCCCTCTGGGACTACAGTCTGCAAGATCACCACCTCAAGGCTGACAATCTGATATGTACAAATCATAACAAGTTCTTGACAACCGTAAGGTTATAGGAGGGCGCTGACAGTTACAAAGTAAATTGTTCGTGCTTGTCAGTCTTCAACCATTTCTACACAGTATCAAGCCTTCCATTGCTGTCGCCTTGTTGGATGATAGGATAGTTAGGTCAATGTTCTCTACTTTTTCACGTGACGTGGCGGTCTCAGTGATTGGTGGGGGGGGGGGGGGGAGGGATTCAAGGCTGGTCTATCACTTGATATACGCATAGAGAATCTCTAAATGGTAACCAAAAATGTATCTTAAAGATCTGATGGTGAAGCCACATGTCAGAAAGTCATCTAGGAACTGGGGAAAGAGATCTTCTTTGTTCACCGGCTCTAAGCTACGGCGTAAAGACCAGGTTGTTCGTCCATTTGGACTTTGTGCCCGAGTTGTGCGGGTACGTCCGTTTTACTGGCTTATTTGTGTTAGTTATTTCTTTAGGTCTCAAGTTAGTATACTCCTACGACATGCTTGCTGGGGAGGCATTGAGTCTATTCTTGTTTTCCCCCACAATAGGGCCACGGAACTCACACGGGCAGGAAAGAGAACAACGGTAGAGCTAGTACAAGCAGCAGATTGACGGCAGAGATGCTACTGAATGCGCTGACGTAGAAGGCTCTGTTGCTGGACTAAAATGAGAAACAAAGATTGGAACTTGAAACGAGATGTCCAGGGTACAGTTTCCGGAAAACGAGGCACAGGCCGACCACCTCGAAGGTGACAACTAGGCATTAAAGATGCAGTGGTTATCAAAGCACAGAGGGCTGGAGAATAGGCTGAAGAAATCGAGACTTTCAGGCGTGCCGCTGCGAAAGCGATGTTCTGTTAGTATCAAGATACTTATGCAAAACTATTAGCGGCACACCTCCATGGACCCTAGGGACATGGTTGCACACACACACACACACACACCAACACACGCACACACAAACACACACACATGCACTCGGACACATGCACGCACACGGACACATACACGCACACGGACATACACACGCCCACACACGCACGCACGCGAACGCACAGGCATGCAGACGCGCACGCACGCACACAACACACGCAATTGTTTTTGTTGGTCTGCACATTCACGAGCTTTTTTTTTGGGGGGGGGGTGGGGGATAAGGTGTAGCCCTTTATGCCAAGTAAACCTGAAAGGCGTGGGAAAGGGTCACTTTCTTTAAGGGTATAATATGAAAAACATATTCTACTATACATAAACATGTTTGTGAAATTAAAAAAAAATAAACCTGCCCCGGGACCAGACGAGGTCAGGTATGCCCACAAGACCTTGAGTGATAAAGACTTGGAGATGGCTTCTCATTTCAACCAGAGCATCGTACCAGCGTCAGTACCCCATGACTGGGTACACAGCTTTTTAGTCCCACTTTAAAAATCCTAGAAAATTATTTCTTTGCGACGTCACGCCTTCCTATGACTGGTTACGTGGACATGGTCATAGGGGACCTGCCCTGCTTGTGGACGTGCTTTTCTCAGGAACTATAATATGGTTAACACTGTCCATTCCCAAGTAGATACACAGTATACATAACAATCAATAATGCAAAACTCTAATGTAGCAAAAAATAGTTTATATTAAGTGGTGCAAGTCATATTTGTGTGTGTATGTGCGTGCGGTTTGTTTCGTCTCATTTTGGTGTTTAAGTGATTTCACAGCATATTTACAGAAGCCATCAGATTCCAGAAATAGTGTCCAGTAAGCTACCACTTCTCAGACACCCACATATCCCCCCTTCCAGCAAAACAACAAATGATTAATAGCAGCTTCAGCCACCACTTTGTTCAAGCAGTGCCAAACATAACAATGAGTAGATCACAAACACAAAAAATAACCCTCTGTGAAATGCGATGTCCCTGAAAACGCAGCAACAAAGAAAGAAGAGACCGGGTCTGAATTATATTAAAAAACAATGAAATGGTTTGGAGCTCAGTCAGACAAACTGTTTTTAACACTTCCTATGGGGGAAGTGGGGAGGGGTGATGGGGGGGGAGGGGGGATGGTGAGGGGGGGGGGGGTGTGGGGGGAGCTTTGGGCAGAAGGAAACACGAAGACCAAAGAACACAGCGTAGCTGAAAATACAAAATTGATCAACCAAGGCGCTTGAAATACCCAAGACAAATAGTTGACAATTCCTAAGTTCAAGGTGTAAAACCACTTGACTATCAGACACCGTCACCTTGCATACGAACCCTGCAGCACTGCAAACGAGCCAGATATGTTAACAAGAACTACATTTATATTATTTCTTTGCTGGTAGTTGTTCAGTGTTGACAGTTGGGGTAAACTTAGTCAACAGTGTTTGTTCTATTTACACTAACCACGGGATAGCCTTAATGGCTCAGACAATTTAGAACAATGTTTTTTTTTAAAACAACGCCACTTCATTATATGTAGGAGATTACAGTGGTGCCCTGTGGAGTTGAAGTGGAGCCAGTGGTGTCTTGTGGAGTTGAAGTGGAGTCAGTGGTGTCCTGTGGAGTTGAAGTGGAGTCAGTGGTGTCTTGTGGAGTTGAAGTGGAGTCAGTGGTGTCTTGTGGAGTTGAAGTGGTGTCAGTGGTGTCCTGTGGAGTTGAAGTGGTGTCAGTGGTGTCTTGTGGAGTTGAAGTGGTGCCAGTGGTGTCTTGTGGAGTTGAAGTGGAGTCAGTGGTGTCTTGTGGAGTTGAAGTGGTGTCAGTGGTGTCTTGTGGAGTTGAAGTGGAGTCAGTGGTGTCAAGTGGTGCCAGTGGTGTCTTGTGGAGTTGAAGTGGTGTCAGTGGTGTCTTGTGGAGTTGAAGTGGTGTCAGTGGTGTCATGTGGAGTTGAAGTGGTGCCAGTGGTGTCTTGTGGAGTTGAAGTGGTGCCAGTGGTGTCTTGTGGAGTTGAAGTGGTGTCAGTGGTGTCTTGTGGAGTTGAAGTGGTGTCAGTGGTGTCTTGTGGAGTTGAAGTGGTGTCAGTGGTGTCATGTGGAGTTGAAGTGGTGTCAGTGGTGTCTTGTGGAGTTGAAGTGGAGTCAGTGGTGTCATGTGGAGTTGAAGTGGAGTCAGTGGTGTCATGTGGAGTTGAAGTGGTGTCAGTGGTGTCTTGTGGAGTTGAAGTGGTGTCAGTGGTGTCCTGTGGAGTTGAAGTGGTGTCAGTGGTGTCCCGTGGAGTTGAAGTGTTGTCAGTGGTGTCCCGTGGAGTTGAAGTGTTGTCAGTGGTGTCCCGTGGAGTTGAAGTGGTGTCAGTGGTGTCTTGTGGAGTTGAAGTGGAGTCAGTGGTGTCCCGTGGAGTTGAGGTGGAGCCAGTTGGATACCTCGTAGTTGATCGGCGGCTTGCTGGTGTGGTGCTCATAGGTAGTCTGGTTGTGGTCAAAGGCCGTCTAGTTGTGGTCTGTGGCCGTCTAGTTGTGGTCAAAGGTCGTCTGGTTGTGGTCAAAGGTCGTCTAGTTGTGGTCAAAGGCCGTCTGGTTGTGGTCAAAGGCCGGCTGGTTGTGGTCAAAGGCCGGCTGGTTGTGGTCAAAGGCCGGCTGGTTGTGGTCAAAGGCCGTCTGGTTGTGGTCAAAGGCCGTTTGGTTGTGGTCAAAGGCCGTCTGGTTGTGGTCAAAAGCCGTCTGGTTGTGGTCAAAGGCCGTCTGGTTGTGGTCAAAGGCCGTCTGGTTGTGGTCAGAGGCCGTCTGGTTGTGGTCAAAGGCCGTCTGGTTGTGGTCAAAGGCCGTCTGGTTGTGGTCAAAGGCCATCTGGTTGTGGTCAAAGGCCGTCTGGTTGTGGTCAAAGGCCGTCTGGTTGTGGTCAAAGGTCGTCTGGTTGTGGTCAAAGGTCGTCTAGTTGTGGTCAAAGGTCGTCTGGTTGTGGTCGGTGGTCGTCTGGTTGTGGTCAGTGGTCGTCTGGTTGTGGTCAGTGGTCGTCTAGTTGTGGTCAGTGGTCGTCTAGTTGTGGTCAGTGGTCGTCTAGTTGTGGTCAAAGGTCGTCTGGTTGTGGTCAGTGGTCGTCTGGTTGTGGTCAAAGGTCGTCTGGTTGTGGTCAGTGGCCGTCTGGTTGTGGTCGGTGGCCGTCTGGTTGTGGTCAGTGGCCGTCTGGTTGTGGTCAGTGGCCGTCTGGTTGTGGTCAGTGGCCGTCTAGTTGTGGTCAAAGGTCGTCTGGTTGTGGTCAAAGGTCGTCTAGTTGTGGTCAAAGGTCGTCTAGTTGTGGTCAAAGGTCGTCTAGTTGTGGTCAAAGGTCGTCTAGTTGTGGTCAAAGGCCGTCTAGTTGTGGTCCGTGGTCGTCTAGTTGTGGTCCGTGGCCGCCTGGTGTGGGTGACGGGTCGTCTGGTTGGCTTGACGGGCCGTCTGGTCCGGATAAAGGGTGGACTAGTTGAGATGACCGGTCCACTGGTTGAAATGAAAGTTTGTCTTGTTCGGATGAATCTCAGTAGCAAGCTTGTCCACCTGGGTCGTGTGCGGTTTATGTCTGTAAGCAGTGGCCATGTGAAGTTCCTGTTCGTTATTAGCACTGGAGTTTACTGTATCGTACAATCTGAAAGGTACAATTAAAAACGATCATTTGTATGTTTCGTTGTGTCATTATGTCATATGGGGATCGCTGTTTTTCCCCCAGCTCCGTTTTATTCTGTGCAATCCATTCGATAATATCGAAATAATTTAGTCTAGCATCTCTGGTTTGTTCCATCAACGTTCGCTGTAGCGTTTCTCTATGACGACTTCTTTCCTTAATCCCTCTCTTTCTCAGTTTAGCGTTATCGGCGACCGGGTCATCCATTGACTGACCTGCAGGGGAAAGTCGTCGCCATTGGACACAGTATTTGGTTCTTGTCTTCTTTGACGAGTCGGCTCTGTGGCTAAGTCGATGCGAACGCTTTGTAATGCCGGGTTCGATCCCAGCTGCAGGCCATGCGCCTTGCATTGGTTTTGACAGTGGTATCAAGAAAGCCGACCGTCCAGGGAGCAATGGCAAACTACTGGACGTAGATTTGCCTTAAAAAACTAGGGACTGGTGGGGTTGGTTTTGCAACGTCATGTAAAGGATACGCAGCTAACCTTCTTTGACGGCATCAACACCTCAAAGAGTCCCTTTTAGGGCTAATGGTGGCGATCAATGCTAAGTATTATATGTAGCTCAAAGAAACTAGGTACAATTATAACCTAAAGCTTCCCCTTTGGGAAAGCTGGCTAAACATGACGACTTCTGTTGTTGAGAAAAGCCAATGTCCGTTTGTTGATTCTCTGCTGGGTTTTTTCTCAGTTTGTGGCCAGTTTAGCGGCGTCATGTTTTGTGTCTAGTTAGCATACCGCGATCAAAACCCACTGCAGGCTGCGTGGATTTTTGTCGTCGTATGGGACGTCGCAGGTCGACCCAGCCTAAAATGGGTACCAGGATGGGCTGTCCTGGGAAAGTAAAGACAGCCGGCGTAATGCTGACCACATTACCCACCGAGTGCTGATGGTCTGTAAAAATATGGGACGCTCTGCCGATATGCCCGATGCGCCGAAAGGCGTGAAAAGGGAACTTTACTTTTTTTACTTACCGTTGTTACCAGTGATTACCCAGCCATTGATCTTTCACTACTCTTGAATCCATACCATGTTATGTGTCTCATTTCCCTAGGCATTTGCCTTCGAATGACCTTAATTGTCCATGTCTTTTAAACGATTCTATTACTTTCCCCGACATATGTTAACTCTGCAACAATTGCGAGTCAAAATACGTTAACTTGGTTCTTGAACTATGTAAGTTCGATATTTCCTTTGCCGCCGATGCCTTGTCAGTGTGCGTCATTTCTTTCTTTGTGACTTATTGATTGGAACCTAAATAGGTTAACAGTTTTGTTACGTTAGCTCTTTTTTGTCTGCAGAATTACTATTGCTAGTATCTGCCATAACTTATTTGTAAGCCAATTGTTGATACTTCCTTTCCCAAATCATCTGTTTAAAAACACAGATAACGTTATGCACATATTAAATTAAAAGACACCTTGTTAAATAGCCACAGATAACGTTATGCACATATTAGATTAAAAGATACACTGTTAAAAAACCACATAACGGTAAAAATTGAAGGCAGGCGAGCAGTCAGTAACAGCGATACAAGATGGAAGAAGATCAACAGGAGGCCAAAGACACTCTGAACGTACACCCAGGACGAGTCAGTGCTGATCCATTGTGCTCAACGCTCTTTGTTGAGTCGGTACCTGACATGCCATTTAGGATTTAAACACCCCTCCCCCACCACATGCAGACATTCATTAACCCATTATACAAACCCCTATAAACACATCCTACAAACAGACCCTACAAACACACAAACTACATAACTCCTCAAACACTACACAAATACAAATATCATGCAAAAAATGCCTTTAAAATTAACATCCAGAGTTTTGACTTCATTGCCCCCCCCCCTCTCCCCCACCCACCGCCATATTGCTAGGTCTATATGCAGAAGGGCTAGCTAGCTGCCCACAAAAGCGTCGCACAAAGCACAGATTAGATAGGTCCGGTAACGATCCCCAGATATCTCTGTAAAGTCGCACTGGTTTACTGACTACTAATTCAAAAATGGATTTCCACTTCTTTACGGCTTTACACCTGCTTTGGAAATGGCGCATAATTCTGAATTAAACATTGACCAAATATCACAAAATATGAAACTACACATCACATTGAAAGCAAACACAGGAATATTCAAAGTTTCGAACGTCAGAGAGTAATCATAATTTATAATAAATCCTCAGAAAAAGGTGCGTTTTTTGTGTGTGTGGTTTGTTTAGGTTTTGTTCAGATTTTAAAAGTTAACCGCGCATGAAAATAGACTTATTCATCTACAAGGTTGGCGGCATAGAATATGTTAGAGCAAAATATAATACTTTTCAAACTTCTAGACAGGACTGCCCCCTTAAGGTGTAGACACTAACTCTCCCCAGACCACACTCAATATAAACTTGTTCTCTTCCTCTCAAACACCCGAACATTGCTGGATCCACACTTAATTCGTCGTTCACACATTCTTACAAATGTTATTTGATCTAAACTAGTGTTTGCTATCAATATTCATTTATTTATCTTCATAAAATCTTTGTCCAGTGCGAGTGTTCTAGTAGCTATCGCCTTCGAAGCCAGAACATCCTCTTTCGTTCCCTCCCACTCCTGTGTATCTCGGGCAGTATATCCAAGTGATTCCCTGCAATGTTGACGTACTGATGTTTGCTATCTACTTATGCCACATTTGTTCATGTTGAACCTTCCGTAGTACCGACTAGAATCAGACAACTTCGCTGGAGCTACTGCGACCGGGTTCTGACATCGAAAGACGCAGCAAATGGTGGTAGGAGTTGGAGAAGGAGAGGAAGAGGGAAAATAAGGAAAGAAAAGAGCTGGCAAAACAAGGACTATGTGAAAATCTGACGTATCTGCTAAATTGCACTGATGATCCGAATGACGCTGCCGTGACACGAACCCACGGCCTACAGAGCGCAGGACACAGCTTCGCCACCTCGCAACCGAGACCTAGTTAAAAATATGTCTAACACAGTTTTATTACGGAGGATTATTTTAGCACCTACTTTTGCCAGATTCCATTGTGGAAATCCCCAAAGAAATCATTGTCACTGTCTGCGTTCAGGTCAACCTCCAAGGACACTGGTTCTGAGTTGACAACGGCTACAGTAAGCGGGACCAGCAGACTGATGATTAAGGCATTTACAAAGTTCCACGGCATCTTCATCTATAATCAGTAAGAAATGATACTTTTTAAGTAAAAATTACGGTAAAATGGAAGGATCGCAATGCTGTTTTAAAGACGAATGATAACATCCTGGACAAATAAAGAGTAATGAAGATGTCTCAAAAGAAGTGATCGCTTCCATTGGAGGACAAAATATATACTGTTGCCATTTCATGTGACGGAGTAAAGTGGAGTACGTCTCGAAGGTGGGAATGTTGGGGAGAAAATGAGTCTGAGGGAGACCGAGAGAGAAGATAATAAACAGTCTTTCATCAAAGTATAGGAGATCATCTGTCTCAGAACTGATTTAAGTACTCGAAACAGAAGGTGGCGGAGAGACATGACCCCCAACGCCACACGGCATGAGCTCCAACAAAAAGTAACTAAATTTATACGATGAAATGTAACTTATGTAAAAAAAAAAAATATATATATATATATAATTTTCATTGAATGTTAAAAAGAACAAGCTATAAAGGAGAGATTAGTAGAGAGATTAGTTAAAAACTGACTAGCATTCCAGAATGTCAATATGATCGCAGTCCTTATCTTCAGTAACCAGAGTCCCAATTCGATAAGTACCAGAAGCAGTTTGATTACATTTTGACGTGACTTTCCTCTGAGTGTAAACCATGCAGATCCCCGGGCCAAGCCTCGTTGCACCATCATCTCCACACCTTTAAATTCGTTTGGTTTGGTAGCGATGCAAATGGAAGTAGATCCGATCCGATTATTAAAGAGAAAAAATCTTTACGTTCAACCAACATCCACAAAGGGGCAGACTTTGGTTATAATTGTCACTAGGTTATTTGCCTATATAAAATGACTTAACATTGCAATCTGGAAGCACCAAGTAAGAGGAAAGACATGCACACGTAACAACAGGGTGGAGGACGAGCGGTCTGAATCGGAAGGAAGCATCAAGCCCAGAAATGGCGCATAATACTCGAATTCAGTCACGAAAGTGACGCAAATAACCCAGACCACAAATATAGGCGGAGACTGTTAGCAGCCTCGGGTAGCTAGCAGCAGTCTGAAAGTGCTCGACCTTTCAATTTTTTCCTCAAAAGGACTAGGACTAGGACGCACTGTTCACTTGTTCCAAAAAGACATACAACATCAAATTTGTCATACGCCAGTCTCAACCCGTTGTGTAGCACTAGCCATTCTGTTTGCCTGTTCCCAAGACACTCTGGGGGTTGGGGGGGGGGGGGAGGGAAAAAGGTGGAGGGAGGGGTGGGGGTGGGGATGAGAGAAAATTCACTGGTTAATAACTTTTGGGGGACCTCTAAAGCAATCGATGCTTGTGACATTTCTCATTACGCTTTTTGAGTCTTCTAAATATGTCATAAAAGCTGATTCTCAAGCGAGCGGAAAGCAGCTCGTTAAAAAAAAATCCACAAAATTTAAGATAAAGACTATGGGGCCACCATCACCTGGTTGCATAACAGGCAACCGGGGAGGAGCAGTTGTGTATTAGTGTCTTAAGCTGTCAGTGACTCGAACCTCAATCTTCTATGTCACCTCTGTATCTTGGCGTTTCCATTGTTATAGTGCACGCTTTGGTTGACGGCACTGCTGAATTCACTTTCACTACTAGTAGAACTATTACAGTTCTTGGTCACGTTGATGATGCTGTAAGGATGATAAATTATACTCTTTGTGCTTTATGCGTTGCAAAAGCCTAATGCTAAGTGGGTTTGCATGTCACGGCAGTGGTCCGGGTTTAAATAGGAAAGGATTTGAAGTTGATCATGCAGCACGAGCAACACAAGGTCTTTACAATACCGCCCAGGGTTGTAGGGAGCTCCTCCTTGGCATCAGGAGATCATCCTTGGCATCGGCAGATCATCCTTGGCATCGGGAGATCACCCTTGGCATCGGGAGATCACCCTTGGCATCGGGTGATCATCCTTGGCATCGGGTGATTTTCCTTGGCATCGGGTGATTTTCCTAGGCATCGGGTGATCATCCTTAGCATCGGGAGATAACCCTTAGCATCGGGAGATCATCCTTGGCATCGGGAGATCATCATTGGCATCGGGTGATCATCATTGGCATCGGGTGATCATCATTGGCATCAGCAGATCATCCTTGGCATCATCTGATGTCTATATGATCTATGATTCTCATGTCTACCTTTGGACAATGGAACATTGTCGTTTCGAAACGCGAAAAGCTGGCAATTTCGACCACAGCCTTTATGAGAGTAGCACGAGAAGAGAAATCCTAGATGTTAGCTCCAACACTAGGACGTTATGTCGTTAACTATTACACAATATAAAATTGAAGAGAAGAGGAAATTTTACAAAACGAAATAAAAAAAAGTTTAAAAAAAAAAAAAAAAAAAAAAAAAAAAAAAGAAATGATGCTTATAATATCAATGGTAATCATAATAAGACAAAATACTACTTAAAATGAAAATAATAATAATAGTACAAATAACAGGTGAATTATAAGCCAAAATTTTTACTACAATAGTTTTCAAAAACTGCCAGTTACTGCCTTTGACTTTTGCTGTGTAGGTGGGAGAAAGGGGAAAGGGGGGGGGGGGGGGGGGGTCTTTGAGCATAAGGATGAAAAGCCGCATGACTAGTGCTGTCGCCACAACTGTGCAGACAATAACAGTAATAATAAAACGTCGGGAGGGGTTTTAAATATTAAAAATAATAATGGCGTATAAATATTATTTCACACTTGGCTGAGAACTGGTATTTCTTCGAATTATGAGCCCAATTTTTTTAAAACTCAGAATAACTCACCATAGACGTCTGTGGCCCAGGGATTGTCATATACCTTGAAACGCCAATGCTCCAAAGTCCACTGCAGGCGATGTGGTGGACCCTAGCTCTATCTTGATTTTGACAACTGTTTGAGCGTGTCGGCGTTTAGAAAACTAAAATCTTCTGAACATAGTCTGCTATTAAATACTAGCAATTGAATACCACATCCTGATCACGAAATCGTGTAATTTTATTCTGAAAAAAATGGGAACTAAAAATGAGCAACAGGCTTATAAAACGAAACTAGATCTTGACCTATGCCTGCTCAGCTTGTTTTGCGACTGGGAAGTTTGAATAGTTTGAGGTATATCAAGTATTTCGGTAACTGAAGATGTATTTTAACAGTTACAAATGAAGTAACGCCCTTGCAAAAGCAGTTTTTCTTAGGGTGAAGGAGTGTCATGAATCAGAACATCGCTCTCGGCACGGCAGGTCTGAAAGTCTCTTGTTTCTGAAGTCAATTAATTCTCTAGCTCCTTGTGCTTTCAAAGCCAATTAATCTTCAATGTCTTGTATCAGTGTTTCTCAACGTGGGGCATGCTGCTGAAGATGGGGTGGAGCACTTATGGGAGTGTCCCTAGTGTTCCTTCTGAGACTACAGTCTGCAAGATCACCACCTCAAGGATAAGAATCTGATATGTACAAATCCTTAGAAGCTCTGGTCAACAGCAAGGCTCTACTAGAGCGCTGACGGTCACAAAGTAAAATGTTTTTGCTGGTCAGTCTTCTGCCATTTCTACCCAGTACCATGTCTTCCATTGCTGTCCTTGTTGGATGATAGGGATAGTTAGGTCAGTTTTTTTTCTCTAGCTAAAAGTTACCTAAAAGATCTCATGGTGAGGTCCCATGCCAGAAAAGTCATTACGGGAACTGGGGAAAGAGAACTTTGTTCACCGGCTTTAAGATACGACGTAAAGACCTGGTTGTTCGTCTATTTGGACTTTGTGCCTAGTTTTGCGTGTACGTCCGTTTTACTGGCTTATTTGTGTGTTGTTGGCTATTCCTTTCTGCTTGATAGCAGATGCACTCCGACTTCAAAGGAAGTTCCCAGTTAGTATATTCCCATGATTTGCGTGTTGGGGAGGCAGTGGTCAAATGGGGCCCCGGAGCCCATACAGGCAGGGAAGAGAACAACGGTAGAGCTAGTACAAGCAGCAGACAGGCGGCAGAGATGCTATTGGATGGGCTGCATTGGAAGACTGTCGCTGGACTAAACGGTGAAACATGAGAGATTGTGGTTTCTGTTTTAGGAAAATGAGGCAGAGACCGACCTCAGCGGTGGATACAAGGCATTAAAGATGCATTGGTTATAAAGCACATAGGGCTGGAGAAATGGCTGAGAAAACTAGACTTTCAGGGGTGCCGTGATAAGAGCGACGTTCTCTAATAAACCTGCTGATTGACGATGGTTGGTGTTTATTGGATACTTATGCAAAACTATCAGCGGCACACCTCTATGGTGCACAAGGACATGGTTGCACACACACACAAACACGAGCACGCACACACAAACACATACGCACACATACGCTCACAAACACACACAAACGCACTCACAAACACACGCACACACGCAAACACATGCACACACACATGTACCCAAACACACGCACACAAACACACACACGCACTCACAAACCCACGCAAACACATGCACACACATATGCACACATACACACACATGTACAAAACACACGCACACAAAGGCATATACACACACACACACCCATACAGGCACACGTATACGCACACACAAACACACGCACACACACTCAAACACACTCACAGCGCAGGCACAGACAAACACACACAACACTATTATGCAAAAATACCCGAAATATTTCCGTCTAACTTCCTAGTTGCAAAATTAACACAAACGTCACAACGAGCTGACAAGGGGGTAATAACTCGTATCCGTATAGGAGAGATAACCTGTATTGTAATTCACCTGTAATGTAATTTGTTCATATCGCCACCTATGTTAATGGTACGCGATTTTTTGTTCTTGATCATTTAATGATTCTAAACTATATGTGACACGTATCTTGTAGTGGTAAACTGCTTTAAGATCGGCCCAGGCTATGGTAAGGTATGCTAGAATATTAACTTTGTAAATGTTCATCAACAAATGTTCATCAACATGTAATTGCAGTTTCTTATGAAGCCCCACTAGTTTTTGCAGAGGCCGCACATACAGGCCATAAATATGGCCAATGTCTGAATTTTCTGGGACCTTACGGCTCCTCATCCACATGTGGGTCATCGTGTGTTTATCGCTTGTGTGATGTCCTAGTGGGGTAGAAAGTCAGTTATTAATTTTTCCTATGTGGGATCAATTTGAAGTATTTTTTCCGAAGCCCCACCCTGGCGCTAAATATAGCCGGGCCTCAAATGTGGACTAACAGCTGAATGGTGTTTCTGGGACCTCTCCACGGTGATCCTCATATTCGCAACGGTGGTACTTTGTGTCACTAGTTATTTATCGCTTACCTACCTACATATCATCACATAGAAGGAGCGCATGAAAATCATCATGTTCATATACCCTATTTTTTCCCCTTTCTTCCCCTTTTGTCACGACGTTTGTCGACGGAGATACAAGTTTCCGCTTCTTGCTCATCTGGTCGCCAGTGACCAAAGACCCATCGTGCTGAGGTAAGAGTTTCTCTTATCTTATATTCCCAACT